CCCATCTGTTCCACAGTAGTTTTGGTTGCTATAGTGGAAACTTGGTCCAATTGCAAGTTTGGATGCTGTCATTACCCATAAGCAGCAGCTTTTCACCATGTAAGAGCACCGTAACAAATGCTTGGCCAAAACAAAAAAATCAGCACTACAGCCTATAAGGTGTACCAGGGAGAAATCTCTCACATTTCACCTGAAATCCAGTTTTGAAATGTTGGAGTGTCGTTCCTTGCGAGCGAGAAGGGTAAAGCATAGTTGTGTGTTTGGTCACCACCTCTTCTAATTGGCTCGCAGTGTTGTAACAACCTGGTATATTAGATAGCAGTTGCTGGCTGTCCTCTGGTGATGCTTCCAGCTGCATAGATTTTGGCCAATGAAGGACTGCCACGAGCCTGCTGAAGGTATACTTGACATTTTATTTTGTTGGTTTTTTGTTTGTGTGGGTTTTGGGTTTTTGTTTTTTTTTTTTTTTTTTTTTGGTTAAAAGAGAAAATCAGTCAAGTTCAATAGGAATTATCCTGTATGCTTTATCCAAATACTGTGATGCAGTGCAGCAGGCTGCCAGTTAGCTGGTCAGGGCCGTCTAGTCCACGTGGAATCTGGGAGCGTTGGCTGGATGTCGAAGCTGGGTGTGTAAGGTATGCGTGTGGCTGAAGACTGTGCTGGTGCATGTCTGTATCTCTCAAATAACACTCATACATAATGATCTCTTCAAATTCTGTGTTCCCCTGTGCCTCCTTAAACTGTACTGAAACTAAGCTGGTGGTGTGCTATGCGGCTGAACGCTTTTAGAGTAGTTGTGAGCTGGGGGGCACACAGCCCCCTCTATGTACCTTCTTAAAGGGGGAATAAGGACTCTAATTCATCTTTCCTCCTCTCACCATTGCACTGTGTAGAAAATGCAGATACCTAATTTAGGATGGGGTCATTTAAACTAATTCCTGTTTGTTACTTCTAGAAGATAATGCAGATAGCTAATTTAGGATGGGGTCATTTAAACTAATTCCTGTTTGTTACTTCTAGCTTGACCAGTGATCTGCCAGTCACAATAGAGAGCACCTGGGTTCAGGTTTTTGCCAGCCATGTATTGCCTGTTGGCTGTGTAGAGGTCACATACTATTGGTTTTCTCAAAGTGGCAAGTAAATAGCTGATAATGCGGGGATAAAAAAAGTTACCTCATGACATTGTGGAAAGAGAGCTGCTTTAGAGAAATTGAAGTATTAGGTTAATGATGAAATATAATTTTTTGGTGGTTAATATCTAGAAAGAAATGGGGATATTTAGTTTTGAGCATGGACTTCCACGCTTCCCCCCCCCAATTTATGTTTTTGTTTTGTTGAGAAAATAACTCAGGATTAGTAGATAGATTTTTGTTCCCCGTAGCTTTCTGTAACCTCTGGCGATACCTTGGGCGCTTAAAAGCTAGTATTTTAACTCGAGCCTCCTGTGGGGCTTCGGGGCCCGCTGGCAGAGCCTCTGCAGCGCGACTCCCGCTGCGGGGGACTCGGCCTCCCCGGGGGAGCCGCCCGGGCGCGGGCACGGGTCGCAGCGGCTCCGGCTGGGCCCGGCTTAACCAACCGCCCCCGCGCGGCGCCTAAGGCTGCCGCCGGCCCGGCCGCCAGGGGGCGCCTGCGGCCTGCGCGCCCGCGGACGGTGCTGGGGCGCCGCCTGGCGGGCGCGCTGCCGCCCAGCCGAGGGCGGCGCGCGGTAAACAACAAAAAAAAAAAAAAAACACAAAAAACCCCCCAAAAAACGGAGAATGGCAAGCTTGTACTTTAGCAGCTTTTTATCTCGAGAGTTGTGCTCTGTGTTTCAGGAACTTCCCCCAAAAAGCCGCTTCGGGCTTTGCTGCGAGAGCAGGGAGAGGACGTTGCCGCAGCCTGGTCAGGGCTGTAAGCGCGGCGTGGAAACGTCTCGTGTGCTTGGTCGGCGTGGGGGGCTCCTGTGCAGCCACTCGGGTTGTGCAAACCACGCGCTGTGGGCCCTGGCTGTGCCCGTGCACCCTGCAGTCACTTTACAGAGGTCTCTGCGCTGCATGAAGGGTTTGTGAGCCAGGTTTTGGTGAGCTGCATCAGCTGTGGCCGGGGCGTGGGCAGCTGGACGAGTGGGAAGTCATCTTTCCTTACGCTGAGCAGCGAGCTGGTGCTGCTGGAGTGGTGGTGGGAAGACAGGAGGCAGAGATGTTGGGTGGTTTATGGAAGTTTTATAGGCTGTCAGACTATAGAGTGGTATCTATACGAGGGAAATGACATCTATGAAAGTGACTTGCAGATATTATGGAACTTGTATTATATGGTTACCATATGATACAGCTTATTTACAGATACAAAGTAGGGTTTCTCTATGATCAAGCAGAAACCTTGGTTCAACCTCCTCCTTTTATTTCTCCCTGTCTCAGAAATAATTACCACTTGCTGTATGCATTAAACCATAAGAGCTTCCTGTCTTGTCAATCAGACGTTTGAAGAGAACAAGTGTAACTCTGTTACTTGGCTCATTCATGTTCTGTTTCTGTGCAGCAGTTCATTTGCCAAGACTGCTTTTCCCCTCCATGTTTTGCCTCTGCGGAGGTGCTTTTTCAGGTAAGCCTTCAGCTTAGCGTGGCCCTGAGAGCAGCAGCTTTGTGTAAAAGCCTTCGAAGGGGTAAAGGCTTATTTGTGGTTTCCCTGTAGCAAACAAAGCCCGAGCCTCCAGCACTTCACCTGCAGGAACCAGCCCTGTTTCTCAAGCCTTTGTATTAGGACAGGGGTTGATGACAATGTGATTGTGCAGAAGGTGATCGCTATCGTTTATTGGGAATCTAATGATCAATGTTTATTTGTTCTGTCCTTTTTTCTATTAATTGAATGTAGTGCCCTTGAAAACCCTGCTTTGAAATGAGACCTCAGGAGTGGCATGAGATTTATGTATTTGCTTTCTCTGTGTCCTCAAATAGCCCATTACTGTACTGAGGTTATTTAAAAAAAAAAAAAAAAAAAAAAAAAAAAAAACCAAAACCACCAAACCCACCAGCTAAGCCTTAAATAAGTTTGCTCAACAGCATAATAACATAAGTTTGTTATCAATCAAGCTGAAATCTTTACCTGACAAAAACAAAAGCTAGCCAGGTGTCCATGCACACCTCTAATGTCATTACAAACACCTGGACCAACCCTTCAGTTTTGTGCAGGTGCCACTGGTTAAATCTGCCTGGGCAAGAAGAGAGTTCACTGGTGGTGTGCCTTCTGCTTGGGGGCCAAGACTTAGAAATGTGTCAGTTCACCCTGCAGACCTCTGAAAAAAGCTATACTTGTATGAATGACATCAGGTCAGTGTTTTCAGCTGCAAGGCAGGTCTGTGAGTGGAGTTTCAGTTCTCGTGCACTGTGTGGATTTGCAGAAAGGAGGTACAAATTCTGTTTATAGAGACTGGAAGAATTTAATGCATTTTCCATGTAATGTATGTAAAGCAAGCCTGAGAAGTGTACTTCATAAGTTGGTATTCCTGTTAATACTACGCCCGTTGAGGACTTGCCAGGCTTTCCTGGAGGTGATGTTAAGAAGGCTGGAGCATCCTGGTGGCCCATGCCTCACTGTGACCAGGGCGAGGCAGGTACTCTACCCTGAAGTCAGCCATCTGTTCACTGCAAAATTCTGTGTGCGCACAGGAGACAGCTTTCCAGGATGAACCTGGAATACTGGTTAAGCTGTTCCTGCTCGCAATTCTTTTGGCAACTGTTGGAAGTAAATACATGCTTAATAGAAGAAACCGAGCAGCTTTTAAGTGTTCAGAACCTCCCTCTCTCTGCTCCTAGTTTTCTGACCCTTGTAATGTAACTCCTATAATGCTCCTTGCTTCAGCTCCCAACTCAAAACAAAATAATGAAAAAAACGCTCGGGCAAAAATATAGTGCAGGTGCCTACAGTTGAAAGCTGTAGTAAGTCTTGAAGAGAATGAAATAAACTTTGAAAAGAACTATAGAATAGGTCAAGTAAACGTGGTTTTGGAAAAACAGTGCTAACTCTCCAGAGGGTGTCTCCCCAAATGTCTCCAAGAACTGATTTTCTGTTGTTTAGAAAGCTATGTTTTAGTTTGTAATGGAATAGAAACACTAAAAATGATCCTTGGATGCTCAGTCTGACTTGTGTCTGTGTGTGTGTATAAAAATATATGTATAATATACTGACCTTCATTTGTCTTTAGGCCATCCTGAGTACCTGAGAGTGAATAATGAAAATGCACATTGCACCTCACTACCGTATTTGTAGGGTGTTGCATTTGTCTTCTCTAAAATATGTAGATAGAAATGTATGTGATAGTGAAATACTTAACTTTTTTAGGGCTTTGCTCAGCCCGCTGAAGTAACTCTTTTAGTTGCAAAGCTGGTAAGTGAGGTGGAAACGCGACAGCTGGATGGATGTTGTGTTTAGCCACACCTGTGCTCTTACTGCAGCGCAGCATCTTTTCAGTGTAATTTGTGAACAGGTTTGTTTTTTGGTAGCTAAACAAGATGTTAAACCCCTACTGTTTGTTTATGGCTTTCTGCATCGATGTTAACTTAGCCCGCAGGCCCGAAGAGTTTAACTGGAAAAATGTGTCATTCGGTGCGCGACTTCTTCGAACACCCTGCCTGCTCCCTGGGCGGGCGATTTTTAGGGCTTTATAAAAGGCCGTTCCGCGGCAGCGCGGGGTTGGCCGCAGGTGCGCTGCTCCGCCTGCCGCAAACGCCATCGGCCGCCTGCCCGCGCCCTCCTGCCCCTCGCCCGCAGGCCGGGCCCCGCCTGCCGCCCCTGCCCCCCCGCCGCCGTGGCTGCGCCGCTCGGGGCGGTGGGAAGAGCCGCGGCGGAGAGAAAAAAAACCCCAAACAACAAAACAGACAGACCCGCAACTGCGCGGCGCGCCCCGAGCCCGCCAGCCCGCTGCCCCCCCCCGGGCCTGCGGCCGGGCCGGGCTCGCCCCCGAGGGCGGGGCGGGGCCGCCGCTCCCCTCAGGGCGGCCGCGGGGCTGCGGCTGCTTCCCGCGCTCGGCCCCGCCCGCCGCCGCCGCCGCCGCTGCAGTGGGAGCCGGGAGGCGGGCGAGGATGGCGGCGGCGGCGGCGTCGCCGGCGCGGGAGCTCACGCAGAACCCGCTGCAGAAGACCTGGGAGCCCTACGACAACGGGCTGCCGGCGGGGCACAGCGCCCAGCGCGGCGGTGAGCGAGGCGGCGGGGGGGCGGCGGGGCTGCCCGGGCCGCGCTGTCGGGGCTCCGTCGGGCGGCAGCTGTCAGCGGGACCCCCGGGGCGGCCGCCGCCGCCGCTGCTGCTCCTCCTCCTCCTCGGTTGGGCCGCAGCGGGTGCGCCGGGCCCCGCGCAGCCCCGCGCGGCGGCGAATCGGCCTCAGCGGGGAGCGAGGGAAGCGCCGTGAGGGGCTGGAGCCGGGAGGGCGCCCCGTGTGTCGCCCCCCACCCCCGCCGTTACCGTCCCCCTCCGGAGCCCCAGCCCTTTGCCTGGGCGCGTTTCATGGTTCCGCCGGGCCGAGGCTGGCGAGCCGGGGGCGGTGGCTCTGCTGGGTGAGGCGGTCGCGGTCCCCCGTGAAGGATCGGCTGAAACGCCGGGAGGGCAGAAAACCCCGAAGCTGCTGGGTCTGGGCCCAACGGCAGGCAACGGAGCTTGTCTGGGAAGAATATCTTCCCTAGTTGCTTTTCTTGATGGCTTTTTTTTTTTTTTTTTTAAAGCACTCTGGTTTCAAGCAGCCTTTCTATTCAGTATATTCTTCTTGGAAAGGCCTAAAAATGTCACTGTATTTTTTTTTCTTTTAAGGCCAATGCTGTATCAGGCCATCTGTTGTATGAGTTAATGGCTTTCCTTATTTTGAGGTGCAGCCAACCAAGTCATCACCCTCAAAAGACCTTGGCTGTGGCGTTTGTAAACCATAGTTTATTAACAAACTTTGCCTCGCGTTTTTTTTTTTATTTTTCTCCCCCCACCCCCCCCCCCCCCCCCCCCCCCCCTTACTTAAATAACTGAGGTTCAGTACACGGCAGTTTTGCGGACAAAAGGGGCTTTGTTGTGTGGAATTGTTTTTATTTGTCATGCAAAGAGGCTGTGCTGACAAAAAGAGCTGAGGGCTCTGCTGCTATGGCAGGCGTCCATGGGCTGCTGCCTCTCAGCTCTGGTCTTGCTTTGGTCCAGCCCTCGCTGAAAAAAAAGCTCAAGCTTTCTTGGTTTCTGCTAGGCAAGCAGGCGCGTGTTTCTGTGTGAACTGAATTGCTCCAGCATCTGAAAAATAGTAGGTGTTAAGAGGAGATGAATGCTGAAATAGGAAGAAGGTCAGAAAGTGTATATAATTGCTTTTGTAAACACGCTAAGGAGAATGCTTCGTTTTGGCCTTAATGTGGCATCTCTTTTTCCAAACAAAATAATGTTTGTTACAGTTTTGACACAGACAATGGTCTACAAAAGAAAATCCCACAAGAACAAAATTGCGTATTGGTCACAGGTAATCTGGTGACATACAGAGTCTTGTTGGCAGAATTATTTAGATTCTCTTGGCTAGAAATGAACTGAAAATTATTTCGCATACCTGTTTTTTTTGTAGGATTCTATAATTTTTTTATGCTCAAGACCCCTTTATAATTGAAAAACCTTTTTGCTAGAAAAATAGATTTGGAAATAATTTAATGCTTTTGCATGCACTTGCACTTGCAGCTCCACCCATGATACGTCTACAGTCATACATACATACATAAGAGTTACAAACAGCCTAGAGAGGAGCAGAACTTACTCATCTTTGATAAAACTATCTGTCTTGTTTCAGGAAACTGAGAATGCTGTGTAATTTTTCCCGTGCAAGGGTGCTGCGGAGTCCTCTATCCTCAGATTTCCATGTATCATGCATCACCCCGCGCTCTGATGAGGCAGCGTGACCTGTGGGCCCTAGAGCTGTGCTGTGGCAGCTCGGGATGGACTGCCCAGACTGGGTGATGTGGGGCAGCGTTGGGTTGACCAGTTCCAGTTCCCTGCTGCTAGAGGTAGTGGTGTTAAACGTTACTGTTCAAAAAACACAAGCTTAAGTTGGAAGTGGATTTTTTTGTCCTCAAGAGTAGCTTTCCAGTGGAAGCAGTGAAGCTAGTTGCTCTGTCTTCTGAATTGCTAGGCTAAGCAAGATGAACTCTTTTCAGGCTCCTTTGGTTGGGTTTTTTATTTCCTTGTGATGACCTTTATCTGCGCTACTTTAAGTTTTACTTTATCTTTCTAGAAGGTGGGTGAGCAGAATCGTGCATATTTCCAATTGAGGACTCTGCAGATCCATCTTTAAAGGGACTGACCCGTGTTAGCTGTTTTAGTGTGATTTTTCTAAGAGTTGTAGCAACTGGAATTACCTGGGAAAGAAGAAACCTGGCTAGCTGTGCCAGGGTTTAGCTGTCATGGGGCTTTGAAGAACTAGTTATTTTAGTCTGTGCGTTTTGAGGTCTTCCAAGGAGGAGTTTTGGCTGTGTGCAGCGTTCTGAGCAGTCTGAGCTTTTACAGCTGGTGAGACCAGTAAAATGAAGAGAAGTGTTCTAAATGACCTTCCAAAGTAAGACTTTAAGACAGTAGAAATGCACAGTTTTTATTAATAACTGCCATTTACCTTTTGTGGTCTTTTGTCTGTAAATAGGTCGCAGCAAAGCTACTCTTGGCATCGGATGTCAGATTTCTTCAAGCTCTATGAATCAAGCAATGGGCTACAAACATGGACATAAAAAATAAATAGCTAAGTGTGTTACAGTGAAAGTTGTTTTGAGAGTCTAGCAGAGGATCTTTATATATAGAGAGAAAAATAGTGACGTTCCTGTCGTTAAGCATTATTTTTCCCCCTACTACAGTTAACAGCTTTGTTTCCCTAAAGCTGCTGGAGTTTGGTCATTCTAGTAATTTTTATTTGCTGTTCGTACAGCAGCGTGAATGCACATTAAGTTAAAAAAAAAAAAAAATTAAATGAAGATTATCTTTGCTCTAAAGAACTCTACCCTTTGAGCTCACCCTGCTTATGTGTATTTGTACTCCCAGCCCTGGGAACTGAAGATGGAGAAAGTAAATGAGGTAAGGACAACACCCAGCTGTAGCCCGAGGATCAGGATATGTGGTGGGGCCATCGCTCTTGGCATCATAGCTGTAGGAAGCAAATGGTAACCCTGAGCGAGTGGATGGCACTGCTCCTAGGAGCAGCTGGTGGTGTGAGGCTGGCTAGAGCATATACATGAGTTCTGAATTCCTTGCACCAAGGTGATGTTAGAAACAGGTGATTTGGACAAAGTGAGGAGAGACAAATTACTTCAGGTATAGGAGCAGGATGCTCTGTTTTCTTACGGTTAAAGATACTTGTGTATGAGCCTCTAAATAATACAGTGATCTTGGAGAAAGGCCATAAAAACAGCAAGAATCCTTTGTAAACTTCAGATGGCTACCTGCGGCAGCTTGGTGCAAAAAGCATCTGACCTTAAAAGGTGACTTAAACATTTAACACAGATAAGGAAAAAAACAAATCTCATTTTGGGTGAAAGGAAAGGGGAGCTGATAATATGTTAGGTAGTAGGTGAACTTGAAAAATATCAGCTCTTGTCTCTGATTTCACAAGATCATGTGAGCTTTGAGGGCTGTTGAAATACTGCACAGCTGATCTAGGTTGTTCAGTGTCCCAGTTTGGTTTCACAATGTCCTTCTGCATCTTGCATTATTTCACAATAGAGTCTTAAGAGGCAAGAGGTGAACGTGTAGTTTCTTCTTTCCTTGACTGTTAAGTCTTAAACTTTAGAAGGGTAGGCACTCATAATTGTACTCAGAGCTGCAGCTTGTTGTGTTGTTCAGTAGAATATGAGAAAATTTAAACTGGAATAATGACTTTGCTTAAATTGCAATACTTGGTTTTAATGTGCTTCATCACTTGGCCATCTTCCTTCACTGATTGGTATTTTGGGCATTTTTTTTGTCCCCTCTAGGGGAGGAGATGCAACATATATTTCTTTCTGATGCTGCTGTTTATAAACATGCAATCTTACATGCATATATTAAAAACGTCTATTAAAAAAAAGCCAACCTGAGTAAAGTCCTAGAGCATCTTTAGCAAATGATGGCATACAACCCTGTAAGTTTTGTTTTACTGTTCTGAGTGTCTATGTTCCTCTACCAAAATTAATGTTGATGGCACATCCATAGGTTGGGGCTGTTGGAAACCTTTAGGAGTTACATATGTGAAGCAGTATTAAAAAACAAGTTTGTTTTGCTGAGACTAGATTGCGTAGAGAGATTTCTGGAGGTAAACCAGAAAATCCAGTGAAAAGGAACTGGGAGAAAGTTACGCTTAGGAGTCTGCCTTGGCTCTGCAACTTGCATGCGTATAACTACTTTTGTGCTGCAAATTGTTTTTCATATAAAGTAAATAATGTTGGGGTGCTGTGAAAAGGGGAATTGAGCCTTGTGCCACTGGGGAGATATTAAACTAAAGAGGCTTTTTTATTCCAGGAATTGGATAAGTTTAACTTGTGGTTTGTTTGCTTTTTTTATCAATCCACTTCCTCATGTCAAAATGACTTGCATTTCTTCAAAGGGGGGTGTAACTGTCAAATTACAAGTTAAATGCTGTCATTGGAATGAACGTTCCTCCCCACTTGCAGTCAGTGTTGGCAACATTTTGTTAAGAAAGCTGTGGATCAGTCAGATAAAGTGAAAGATAAGTAAATTTTTTATAATTTTTGAGTATTTGATGCATCCTCAGAACTTTGCATTTTGTTCTGGTCTTTTTTAGTGAGCTAATGAGCAAAATTAAGCCTTATTAATTACACAGGATCATAATGAAGAGAGCAAAAACTTGTATCTGCTGTACCGAGTCTTACGTGTGTTGTTGAGAATGCCACACTGAGGTACAGAAGAAATAAAATAGTTGCTTTGTCTGCTTTTATTTTTAGTCCTGTCATTTAGCTGTTAACATCTTATATTTTGGCCAGCAAATGTGCTTTTGACTTCTACTTCCAAATGCATAGGTGTGCTTGTCGCTGAGTGCCACCTGCGTAAGTGGTATTAGGTTGCAACCACTGTTGGCCATCTAAACCAGACCACTCAACATTTTTTAGTGCCCTGAATTTTCGATTGCAAACTGGCATCCTGTTGAAGATGAGCACTAATGGGTGGTATCTGCTGTAGCACCATGTACTGCGTAGTGGCGTTACATAAAAGCAGAGTATTTAAGGTCATTGGAATCAATTATATTCCTCCTTTTGTTTTGAAGGGCATCTGTCTTACTGGTATCTGCCTTTAAAGAGGAAGAGCACTCACGGTCAGTCTGGCACCTAATCAGAATAAGACTGCAACTTGTTCAGTTGGGATCAGCAGATAATTCCCTTGGTTTCTGCTACATGGTCACACACTAAATAGCAGTGCCCAGTGATCAGAATAACAGAGTAGGCATGCATGTTAAACTGTACACATAGGGCTCTATTAAAGGCAATTTTGCTAGCTTTTGTACTTTCTTTGAGGAAATTTGTGTAAAAAGGCAAGTGATGCCAGACGTGCACACTGACTGCTTGGCAGTAGGAGGAAATGTCCCTCTTGGATGTTGTTGCAGTTCTGTTGAGCCGCTTTGCTCTCAGTGAGATCTGTTACAAACTGACACAGGCAGTAGGATTTAGTTTAGAGCATGGTTGTTGGTGTGATCTGTGAAGCAACCATTTAAGCGGGTTGCAGGTTTCTTCACGGTAGATTGCTAGCCCTTAATTTTGCAAAATGGAGTTTTGCTCCAGTATGGGTTTATTGTTACACTACCAAAAAACAAATGTTCTGTGAGAAGGCTAAATTTGCCCCAGGGGGGGGAAAAAAAATAAAAATCTAGGTATGATGTTAGTTGGTAAATTCTGTCCAGAATGGGTAGAAAGTCCTGTTTCAGTTAACACAGTTTCTTGCAGAGCAGCTGGACTTGAGACTGTGTACAGAGTCTTTCTGTACAGATCTTGGTTTGTCTTTTACAAGTCTTTATTTCACTGCTTGTACTGGAAAATTGTTTAAAACTTGAGCTAGGTATTTCAGGTGAAGAACCTTTCAAAATGGCTTTGAAGAACAGTATCTTCTCTTAAAATTTCTAGGGGCTCAGAGATTTCTCTCATCTCAATATTTTCTTGTCCTTAAAACTAGAAGCAGAGCTGTTAAGCTTGGTAAACACTGTGCTCTGCACTTCATAGCCTGTTTCCCCAAAGCCTGCCTTCTCTCAGAGAGGGGGTTCACAGTCCTGAACTTAAGACAAAGAGGAAGAGGGACAAGAAGCCATTAACCTTCTTTGTTTATAGGCTTTTGCACAGAGGAGCTGTGGGCTCTGAGGGCTTTGATCTGTGTCCTTCTGGAAATACAGACATGTTCGCATTCAGTTCCCTGTAACTTCCATTACATGGAGTAGTAGACTGTTTCATGGGTTTGAGGTGTGGTTTTGCCTCTTCTGGTGGAAAGTGGTGTAGTTTTAATGGCTTTGTTGTTGTTTTTTTTTTTCTTTTCAATGTGCATTTTAAGAAAGTGCATCTGCCTTTGCTCATCTGTTTGTTCTTTTTTGATGGGTTTGCTATGCAGAGTAGCTGTGCCAGGTTTGTGCAAGGGGCGTCGTGGGAGGGGACTTTGTCAATCCAAGGGTTGGGAATCTCAGGCGGTCACAGTGCTTTGTACAACTGTTTAGTTATGCCTTATGGTGTAACACTGAGATTTAGTCTTTTTGAGTGAAATGACTCTTTATCCCTCAGGACACTGAGGAAACTGATACACATGTGGGTTGTATAGAAATTAATTCCCTTTGAAATAGGGGATGGAGAGAGCCAGTGGTATCTTTGCAGCACTAATATCTTCTTTCCTTTTAGGCAGTTCCTTATAGCTGTGATAGATTTATGCAAGGTATCCATAGTTTTGTTCCATTAAAATGTTCAAAAACTTGTCATTTGAAAGGAAATGCCTCAAGGTTTTCAGTTTATACGTACAACTCCTTTATCTTCCTACAGTGTTGGGTTTTTTTTTTTAATTAAACGCTTTGGCTTTGATTAGGAGTATTTCCGTATGTATGTTTGTATATCGGATTATTGTAATTGATTGTGTAGAATACTTGTGCTTTATGCCTAGTAACCATCGAAGATGGTTACAAAATGAGCTCTGTTTAAAGGGAGATTTTTTTTGTATTAATAACATTTAAAGGAGAAAAATAGCGAGTACCGTGTCATACTATAATGTATTGAGCTGCATCTTTCATGCTTGTTTCACTCAAAACCAAGAAAAGGTTGAACAGTGTTGAGTTCTCGTCTTAAAGATTTAAAAACTATCTAAAAATTCTGTAGACCTTGCTGTTTCCTTTCAGTGCATAGGGGTATAAGATATCAGTGTCTTTTTTTTTATATTGTTTTTGTATGTCATAAAACATATATGGAAATACTTATGTTTCTTGTCTTCTGCCTGTATACAACTTGTGTCCAGTGTTGCACTACCACCGACTCGCCCTTCCAAAATTGAGCACAGCATAAGAAACCTGGTTAGGTCCGCTGTACTCCTGAAGAAATCTCCTGACATAGTGAGACACCGTGCATGAGCTGCTTCAATGGTCACTTCCTCAGAGAGCACACGGGTTATAATTTTCCACTGTACCATAAGCCTTTGTTTTGTGGGAATGTTAATGGGTAAATTCTGGTTTTTTTTGCTTTTCTATTTCAGTATGTATGACCAATTGCCCTACTCTGATTGTCATGGTGGGTCTTCCAGCAAGAGGAAAAACTTACATCTCGAAGAAGCTGACACGCTATTTAAATTGGATTGGGGTGCCTACAAAAGGTGATGGAGTTACTTTTGTTTACATCAGAAGGACAGGTAGATGTTAGGTGTTTTAAAAACCTAATTCCTGGTAATTTTGTTGCCAAGTTTGACTACTTACAATCCTTCTGCTTTGTTAACTTATTTTTAAGCAATAGCATACACAGGCTCTCTGTTCTGTTTAGATGTTAATTAATCAAAATCTGGTGACTATTCATTTACCTCCTTGTTCTGCCAGGTGCCCAAATCAACTTTTGTCCTTGTCCCTTAACGCTTTGTTTCTTCAGCTGCCCTGATTTTTTTTCTTCCCTTCCTCTTTCTTTATGTGGGTGAACGGGAATCTCATTTACAAGTGGATGAGCAGTCAGTACTGCTGGGCTGCATCCAGAGCAGTGTGGGCAGCAGGTTGAGGGAGAGGATTCTCCCCCTCTGCTCCGCTCTGGGGAGACCCCCCTGCAGTGCTGGGTCCAGCTCGGGGGCCCCCAACAGCAGAAGGACACGGAGCTGCTTGAGCGGGGCCAGAGGAGGCCACGAAGATGCTCAGGGGGCTGGAGCAGCTCCCCTGGGAGGCTGGGCTGAGAGAGTTGGGGGGTTCAGCCTGGAGAAGAGAAGGGTCTGGAGAGACCTTAGAGCGGCCTTCCAGAACCTAAAAGGGGCTAGAAGAAAGCTGGAGATGTACTTTTTACAAGGGCATATAGTGATAACAAAGGGTAACGGTTTTAAACTGAGAGAGGGCAGATTGAGATCAGATATGAGGAGGAAATTCTTCCCTGTGAGGGTGGTGAGGCACTGTCCCTGCTTGCCCAGGGAAGCTGTGGCTGCCCCCTCCCTGGAAGGGTTCAAGGCCACGTTGGACGGAGCTTTGAGCAACCTGGTCTAGTGGAAGGTGTCTTGAAGGTCCCTTACAGTACAAACGATTCTATGAAAGTTCTGACTTCTCCATTTTCTTTTCTTTGTGAGCTTTTTGCAGCATATAATTCTCTGTGTAACTCTTTGTTTAACTGAATTTGTGGAATGAGTTACAGCTCTGACCTCAAAGAACTGAAGCAGCCACTTGTTATCACTCTCTTAAGGACTTTATATGTGTGTTTTGAGTGGTAAATGATGGGTCAGATTGGCTGTGCCAAGGACCTGGCTCTCCTGCCTCATTCCCGAGCTCCTGTGGTGTCTCGTGGGCCCAGTTCAACAAGTAAACAAGACCTAAGTCCATTTGAGGTACTGAGCAGCCATCTCCTCTGCCTTCTTTATCTCTGTAGAAGAAAAAGGTAGTTTTAGTGTTAGGTGATTCTGTGTCTGGTACAGTAATGGTAGCTTTATAGTTATGGCTAGTTAATAATTTAAATAACATTAAACATATTAGATCATTCTGAAGTGTAGACTTTGGCTGGATATTGGGAGGTGTATTTCCTAGTAGCTCTAAGTAGTCAGGATGAAGAATTCTGGCCTATATTTAAACTGCCTTTTGATTCTAGGGTGTAGCTTTTTGAGTTGCTGTTTTAAGCTCTTAGAAACTTAATGAATGTGCTTTATTTAGATGAGATGTTATGAAGGATATGTTACATTGTTTGAGTATATGTGAACACAGGATTTAAATTATCATTTGAGTTTTGACTGCTTTCACACAGTATAACCCTTCTGATGAGCAGTATCAGGTATGTAGGGACTTCAGTTTTATCCATTAGACTGAAATAGGATCGCAGTCTAAATAGGTTAGCCTATATCCAAGCTGATAAAATGAATGTGATATAACTGCTTGTATGTTAGATGCACATCTTACACTTATATAGCCGTGTTTTATATATATATATGTCAGTGTTGAACATTTTACTATGGGAACTCTGAAAATCAGGAATCCAGTATTGGTCAACAAACAATATACTGTCCACATCTGGCTCATGCTAGGTTGACTGTATCCCAAATACAGTAAAATAGGTAGAGGTGGTCTGCTGCAGTTACAGGAAAAGTCCCATGGGCCTACTATGAGCAGCACATGAGAAAATACAGGCATTTGTGCTTAACAAAAAATACTTAGAACTTTGCTGCCTAATTTATTAAAATACACAACAGAAAGTTACCGTATGAGCTTCCGTCCTAGGTTGCTGGTTATGGTTTGTCTTTGTTAGAAAGTGAGACTTGAGATTTTTTTGGAAAACCACAGATCCTTCATGTTGTTTGTCATCAGTGATGCAATTTTACTGAAGCTGAAATCAATGTAATTTACCTCACTGACTGAGGGAATAGATGACACTGCTTAATGCTTCTGGTTGATTGGGACTGAATTGATACAAGATAAGTACCGAACAACCCTGACATCTGTTACCCTTTAGCTTTTAATGTCTTAAAATGAGTGTGCTTAATATAGGAAGTGTTCTTATTCTTTAAGACAGATGGTTGAAATTATGAGGTTATGTAAACCAGAGAAAAGGTAAATGCCGTCTTTTCATGTAACATACATTAGGCAAGCTGGAGAGTTCAAGAACAGAAGGTGGAGGTAAACAGCCCGGGGTTGATGTTAGTTGAATCATTTCAGCCATCAGTTCTGTGTTTTCTTTAATTCCTTCCCAAATCCTCTATCATGTAGAATGTGAAAGGGTTAAAAATACAAGGGACTTTTGTCTAGGCTTTTTGAAGGAAATGAGGTCAATTAGATGCCTGAATAGAATTGTGTTGTAATGTGTTTTTTAGATACTAAACTTTGGGACACTTTTTTGAATAGTTCTGGCTGTGTGGTGGTTGTGATACCAGTTACCTTTATGAAACCTTTCCACAAGGGTGGATGCTAAAGGTCATCCCACTAGGTACCACTTCTTCCTTTGCTGTGCCTGATCCTCTTGCAGTAATTATTCTTTCTTATGAAATTCATTATTTTTTATTTTTAAAGGGCTATTGCCAGTCAACACTGGCCATGGACTTATTGCACCTTCTGTTTTTCTTACAAGGAACCACATTTTCGTGTAGCCAGTATGGCCAGTGCTCATTAAAACTGTCAAAGAATAGCCTGGATTGTACTGTAATCTGTGTCATACTGTTGATCACAAAAATATTACATAAACATTGTTGAATTCAAACAAAACTTGACTTTTGGGGGAATAAACAATATTTATTTCTTTATCCTCCGCCCCTAATCCTAACAGCAATCTATATACAACAGCTGGTGGTTGAGGTCTTTTATACTATGTCTTTTTTTTTCTTAGTTACAACTCAGCAATTGTGTTTATTACTACTTTTCCTCTTTCCAGAAATGACGTCTGGCAAGTAGTTTTACCTTGGCAGCTTCTCAAACAGAATACTTCAGTTTGACCTAATGTTAAAAAAGAAAATGCTTTGCAGTTTAGCATAGAAAACCTATAGGTCAGAAAGAAGTTAAACATTAATTGCACTACTTTCAGGGCTGTCCAATGAACTTAATTAGTCTACAGCTTCATTGTCTGCTGTGTGGCAAAACAGAACAGCCTTGGCCTAATCCCATATCCGATATTGTGACACGTGTACGGCCATAGACTTTATGGAACTTTGCCCAGATAAGGAATAGTTTTCTTTGACCACAGTTAAGAGATCACAGTAAGATTATGTTCAGTATTTATGCTGATTTTTTTGAATGTGGGGTTTGGTGAGGTTTTTTTACAATTTAAGCATTTTTTTAAAGACATGGAACAGGGGTTGTGAAATAGTATGTATAGATCCTTCAGGAATAGAAATATGTGATCAGACTTCTGAAAAAATGTTTCCACAACTTAAAATTCAAGTTTTGTTTCTCAAAAGCAAGATTAGATAGTTCTATTTAGAACTCTTCCTTGCTTCAATAAGAGTGGAAAGTCTTGGGAGGTGCTATCATAATACTGTTTCACTGCACGTATACACAGAAGAAAAAGCTAGGTTGTTAGGAGTCCATTGTAGACTACTGAATTAGACTTCCAACCGCCCCTGCAAAGGAGGAAAAGAGTTTCTTCTTGTTGTTCATGCAAACTGGCAGACAGAGGCACAGCGATATGGCCACACCACACCACTGAAGCTACCTGCAGCCCAAATGTTCTTTTGCCAGTTCCATGATTTGTTGTTGTCTTTGTATGTAAAACCAGCCACCCCCTCCCCAGAACAGGAGAAGCAGTATATGTTGACTTTGTACATGCTAAATTATTTTATCCTTGTAAGTAGTTTGGTTTCAAAGCTGTCATAACTTTTGTCCTTCTGTTTGAATATCATTAGTTCCCACTAATACTGGTTTCTTCTTGGCAGAATTCAACGTTGGTCAGTATCGTCGAGACTTGGTGAAAAAGTATAAATCTTTTGAATTTTTCCTGCCTGACAATGAAGAAGGCTTGAAAATCAGGAAGTAAGTTTTGAATGTGCTTGGCTGCACAATGTTAATGTCATTAAAATGGTACCCTGTGTAACTTGCTGTTAGAGACTGCTTTAAGTTGCATTTTTGTATGTTCAAGAAGACCCTTAAGAGACTGCAGTATGAAATGGCAAGGAAAAGAAATTCTAGAGAAGGTTAAAAAATTATTTGTTTAGGCTGCTTAAAATTTGGGTTATTTTTTCTGAATTATTTCATCTCAAGCATCAGAAATAGAGAGAAAGTAAATACTTGATTGCTTTTCACCTCTCAGTAGGCTGTGACTGCTGTTATTCCTGCAGATATTCCAGGATATTCTCACTCAAAACAAAGAAGTTTTAACAAACAGTTTTTCTTTTTCTTAACTCTTTGAAAGGTATCAGCTGATAGGTGTGACTCTTTCTGTTGTCTAGTTCCTAAAATGCCATTTTAGAGCTTTGATGTGGATCATAAAGAATCAAAAAACCCCATATAACTGCTTTTCTTTTTGATTTGTGCTGTGGAATTTTTCGCCTGGAGTACTTTGAACATATTTGTCATTATCTGTTCAAATGAGCAGGAATGAAACAATATTATTCTCTCCCTGAAATTGTCTTTTTGGCTGCCATGGAGGTGCTTCATGCAGTCAATCAGGGCATTGCCTTGAAAATTGCCATGTTTTGCTGATGCTGTGCAAAGCAAGGTGAGCACCAGTCTGAACATCTGTGCCCAGATGAAGCACCTGAGACTCCGCTCTTGCCTGGAAAGAGGCTGTGCTTTAATGCAGAGGGAAGACTTTGAGAAGAAAAAGTATTTGAAGAGAAGGTCAGAGCAATAGGGAGCAGCCTCTTTCTTACAGAAGATCGGATGGGAAAGTTTTGATTTTATTGACTATTCATTGTCTTTTTTTATTATGTTCAGGAAAACATTTAAGAATGTGCACTATGAAATGAAAAGGAACAGAAATTTTAGAGGAATGGAAGTGCAATTTGTTTAGGCTACTTAAAGTATGAAATATTTTGTTCTTCAGTGCTTCAGCCCAAGGCATTAAAAAATGTCTGGACTTTCCTACTGTCTGGACTTTGGTTTGTGGCTGTCCCTCTGCTTGTCCTCTCTCTCTTCCCTTTTCCCTTCAGCAGCAGTTGAGTATTGCTAATGTCAAAGGAGAACAATTTGCATAAGAACCTCCTCATCTTTTGAGATTGAAGAGCAGATATGAAGTGCATTACCCTTGCAAGCACCTAGCTTTTGCTTAGAGGTAGAGCCAAACCTTTTAGCGTGCTTCTGTATCACGTATTAGACTAAATGGTGGGAAATATATCATGAAATGAGCTGTATGAGATAATCTGCCTAGTTAGCAATGAGTGAAGAGTGTTTATATTTATTTAGTGAAGACCTGACTGATGTTTCTCAGTTCCTGACATCTATTAACGATGCTAATGTGGAAATACTGTCAGGATTCAAAAGCCTTCATTTTTCTTTTAAGATAAAGCTGTGAAGGCAGAATATAGAAAATGTAAGAGGAGAGTTACACGTTTCAGTCTGGAAGTCAAAATAGACTAGTACTGTATAGAAGGGCTATTGAAAGGGACAGTTTTTTATGTTGGTACTGCAAAAAGACTGCATTTATTGGAAATAAATGGGGCTTTCTTCTACTAATGAGTAAATAGTGTACAATGTTAATGTTGCTCTCCAGTATTATTTATGTGTTAGAAATCATAATGGACTTTGAAGATAATACTAATGATGGGGAAATAGGTATGTTGCAAATGAACTTATTCTTGACCAGATTTAACGTAAGTGTAAAGTATGTAGGGGTGGGGTTTTTTGGTATTTGTCGTCTCAGTGGTTTCCAGTACTAATTACATTGGGCTGTTGACTACAATGGGATGCTAGGGACCTCTGTCCCTAATTCGTGGTGCTAACTTTGTTTTACTCACTGCTTTAACAAATGTTTTTTGACAGAAGCAATTTTTCACAATAGTTGAGTAGTAGTAGATTACTGAAGAGTAGTCGACTATCCACTTTAACTTAGGGCCACAAGATAAAAGCCTTAAGTTGATTTAATTTTTTTCCTCTTTTAGAATCAAATTAAGAAGCAAATACCTGTAAAGAGGTAATTGGGAAAAAAAGACATCTACAGGGATGATTCAGTGATGTTACTTTAGATCAGTGAAAGTTTATCCTGGTCAGCGAAGTTGAGTATTCTGTGGTGGTGTATAGTTGTACCAGTTGCACAGAGGAGCGTTGGACTGGTCTTTTTTTTAGGCAGATGGCCCTGACCACGTTTCCTTAGTATAGCTTGGTTGACCTCTCTTGGTTTTTCTCATGGTTTGGGGGGGGTGCTGAATAAAAAATACATGATTTTGAGAGAGATTATCTAACATTTACAGGGCACTTAGATCACAATACATAGATATTCTCATAAAAAGACTGTAACTAGCATTTGAGTGTTACTCTCTGTTTATTTTTAAGACAGTGTGCCTTAGCAGCGCTGAATGATGTCCGACAGTACCTCAGTGAAGAAAACGGGCACGTGGCTGTAAGTTTCTTGCTGAAGACATATTCTTGAGACTCTTCCCTGCAAAGCAGTGTGTGTCTGCATAATATACAGCCTGAGTAATTTGAATATCTCTTCAGTATATTGGATTTTTTTAGATGTTAGATATGCCTTGTTGATAAAAGGAGCATTTACTTTTGGGGTGATGATGCCATATTGAGCAGTCACCTTTGTGATTTGAGAGGTTAACTGAGGAGAAGGTAACACTAAGAAAAATGTCTCCCTTCTCTCCATATTATATAATGTACTGTTAAACACATCTGTTTTGGTTGCACTTGTGTTTCTGTTTGATAGTCTAGTGTTTCAAGTGAAAGATAAAGACCTGCTGAATAAAAAACATCCTGGGTATTGTTTGGCAGCTGTGTGACTGATATGACAAATCTCTGAAGAGAGCAGGAGAAACTCAAAGTAAATTTCTGCATACCTGAGTATTTAATAATGGGATGCAAAACATCAGCTGTTCAACTATTGATGTTGTGTATTCACATTATTATCGGCATAGCACTTTTTCTTAAGACTATTGACACAACTCTGGTATTTTCATAAACTAATCAGGGAAAACCATTAACTGAAAGTTCTGCTGGGGACGGGAGTTAAACTTTATACTTTGACAAACTTTGTACTTTATCTCTGAACACATCAGTGTTTACTAAACGTAAGTTCTTGGAAAAATGGATGCATATATCTTGTAATTCATGGGCAGAAATTACAAGTCTTGCACATTTTCTGCTCTTTAAGTTTTACACTTGCATTTTGAATAGCATATTGATTGCAGCATCTTTTTTTTTGTGTTGTAGAAGTTCACTAAAAAAATGTGCATTAATATTTAATGCTGATATGGGCCAGGAGGAGGATTCTAGCCTGTATTATGTTAGGCTTACACTCCAGTTGCATCTTTCAAGTACAGTGTTCTGCTAGTAGTGCTTTCAAAATGTTACTTTTTTTAGTATTTAGAAAATCATGTGTGTAAAGTAGGAATGTCTTTTGTTTTCCTGTTAGTCATGTTGAGGTAGTGGCTTAAAAGGAAGGGGAGGTGTTTTCGTTGCTTTCCTTCACATTGAGGGACTTTGAACCCTTATTTTTGTTGTTACTAATACGGTGCTTTTCACAGGCTATGATGATTTTTTAATTCCTCTCTCTCTCTCTCTTCTCCCTGTAATTATTCCTAGGTCTTTGATGCTACAAACACAACTCGAGAACGTAGAGAAACTATTTACAAATTTGGTGAAGAAAATGGATATAAGGTGAGTTAAAAGCAAAGGAATTCTGAGCTAACGCCTGGACACCTAAGGCAGTGATAGTTTTGCCCTTATCTGTACTCCAAGTTAGGAAGTGCACTAGCATAGGGCACGTCCTTCCTAGATGTTTAGTCAATAGTGTGTTTTGTGTTCTCAAGCGCTGTTTGTGATTAAAAGTCACCCAGTCCTCACTTTTGTCGTCTTTAATGTTTGTACTGTTTGGAGCTAACCTCTTTTATGCTGTGGCTTCAATTCTGTCATCCTGGACCTGTAGTTCTGAGTGTGCTGTCAGCAAGAACTATTTAAAATATGGTTTTTAGTGCAATTCAGATTTTTGCTGCAGAAACACAGAGGGAATTCTGTGTTAGTTCTGTACAAACCAAAAACTTTCTGTGACTTTCTGCCTTCTGTCCAGAATTGTTTTGCATTTAGCTGTTCTCCACTAATCTTTCATTTCCCCTAAACATGCATCTCCATAAACCTTTGAGACAGCAAAACACAAACCTCTTTTTTACGCGAGGTTACTCCATTAGTTGAAAGGCTTCTAAATTATTATTTCAGAAGCACTAGTTACTGTTTGTGTGGCTGAATTTGCATCCTCTGCATTTATTTCTTCCTCTTCCATGCTAAATTTTTCTCACGGTAAGATTTTTCCACTTTACAAGCATTTGTGGGGAGAAGAGTGTAGAGCACGATGCTTCAGGGAGTAGTAAGCCAACAATTTCTGATTAGAGGGTCTGGAGAAAACATCTGAGTAAATGGAGGGCAGTTTAACGCATGGCTCTGTTAAAAAGGGGTTAGCATGGAAGTGGGCAACATGCTTCTTGTGTGTGTGTTAGTCTCCAGGGGCATTTTAATGCATCTTCCTCCTTCTTCCCTTCTGTACACCTGTCTTCCTGTTTGGACTGAAGACTTTTTTTGTTGAGTCAGTATGCGTAGATCCAGAGGTCATTGCTGCAAACATTGTGGTGAGTATAGGAAAGTTTGCTTTAACTGCTTTAAGTCAAGAGGTTTAAAGTAGCTCAGTATTTTTAGAAGTACATTGTAAGAACTTCCAATAGCAAAAAAACATTAGCTCCCATTAATGGAATGCTTTTAATTTATTTCTCCTGTCCATGTGTATGCTAACTCAGAAGGTTAATTCTGTGAAGAATAGCTCTTTTTGCTTTATGTGTATTTTAATTAACTTCCAGAAAGTAAGTTTTTGTGTTGTGTTCTCCCCCTTCCTATTTCTTTAAACTTCCATTAAAAAGGGAAAGAAACTTGTTGCAACTCTCCTGTTTTTATTTTAAACAGCAAGTGAAGCTGGGTAGTCCTGACTATGTTGATTGTAGTAATGATGAAGCAACAGAAGACTTCATGAAAAGAATAGAGTGCTACAAGAACTCATATGAGACATTAGATGAAACTCTTGACAAGTGAGTGATGAAACAGTACTGTGATCACAACTGGGTTATTTTAAGATGTTTCCTTAGGGGATGGAGCATCCTGTATTGGGGATTAGGGCTTTCTAGTTGTGTTTTTTTTAATGGCTTGAGCTCTCTTTCCTTTGTCAAATCAGAGAGGGTTTACTCTGGAGGTGTAGCCTGGAAACTTGCTTGCTTGGGGAAAATAGGCTAACGAGTCTACTCTGGGACAGTATTCTTTTTGATTGTCCCACTTGGAGAATGGTATGATTCTTCTGGGATAGAACCAGCATTTGCAAATTACTCCAGACTGTAGTGGTTGGCAGTCATGTAGTCATTCTAGTCTGCTGTAGTGGTTGGTTGTTACTTGTTTTCTTTAGTACGTAGAGAAGTTGTGAGCAATTTTATAAGCATAACTTCATTTGTTGGCATGGCTAAGATGAATTTTGAACACATCAGTCTTAAAAAAGTGACTTTATTTGTGCTTGCAAATTATCCTGCAGATGTGGGGCTGTGAGAAACTTTCTTAGCTAGGTTATTTGCTCTCTGGTTTTCATTCAGTTTCAACACTTGAAAGTAGGTAGAGATGAACCATGTGAGGAGGAGCCCTGTTTCTCTTGCTACAGTCCAGGATTTCAGTGTGGGATTTTGAGCTGCACTCATACCAGGTGCTCGTGGTTTGTTTTGGGACCAGTGCCATAGAGAAGCATTTTAATGTAATTGAGTGTAAGCGGTGTGAAGCTGGTTCAGTCACATCAGTTCATGCATGTAATTTCTGTGGTGGACCTAATAGTTGTGCCTGGGTAATGATTAACTCCAAAGAACACTATCAGAGATGAGGTGATGATGCTTGCTTCTTATCACCTCCATTTGGTTTTGTTATAAGTAGTCTTGTTTTATTGCGTTGTGATGTCTCAAAAACCAATAGTGAAACCAGTAACGGTTATCTTCATTTTATTAGACTTTTTTCCTCCTTTAAACTAGATGCTACTCTGAAGCTATAGCTCAGATGAGAAAGGATAAGCAGTGAAAATTGAAATTATAACCTGTCTGATGCTGAGAGAAGATGGTGGGGAAAATTACAGTATTGTTAATAAACAGTTGTTGATAGAGCAGTTGAGAAAATGTCTTGCTTCAGGCTAGTCCCTGGTTCTTCTGATGCTGTAGTTTTTCTGGAAGGGTTAACTGAGATGGGTAAGTAGTGACCCTGCCATTTGGCTCCTGGTTGTAATCAGACAAATACTTGCCGTGGAAGAAGCGTTCATAACCTGGAGGAAAACATCTAGTATTGTAAAATACCTGGCTATCTTATTGAAGCTACCACAGTTGAATGACTCCACTGACTCTTCCTTTCAGTGGGAGGGCTGTGTTTTTCCAAGAGTAAGATCTAGTGCAAGTAGAGGGAACAGAAGAGAAAGTGATACGAGGAGGTTACATGTGAAAGAAATCGTGTACCTTTGTAGTCTTGCATTGTTTCTTAGGATTAATGCATGTTCCATGGGCAATTGAGGGTTTGTTTATTGCTTTGGCTTATTGCGCCTTTATTTTATAATGAGAGAGAGGGTGGGAAGATTGTGGTATGTGCTAATTAGAAACTGTGTGGAATCTTACTTTTTTTTTTGTTTGTTTTGTTTGCTTGTGAAAGGGATCTTTCTTATATTAAAATTATGGATGTTGGAAGGAGTTACCTTGTGAACAGAGTAATGGATCACATTCAGAGCCGGATTGTCTACTACCTCATGAATATCCATGTCACTCCTCGGTCAATCTACCTCTGTCGACATGGAGAAAGTGAACTCAATCTGAAAGGGAGAATAGGAGGAGATCCTGGACTGTCTGTCAGAGGGAAAGAAGTACGTATCTCCTGAACAAGTGTGACTTGAGTTTTGTGTGTACCTATGCATGTGTGCAGTTTGTGCTGTGCAATTACAGCTTTCTCCCTCTACACCCTTTTCCTCTTAACGTGTTTAAGAAGGATTTTTTTTTAGTTGGGTATGTGGGCAGTGGAAATTGGATGGACACACTTTGTGTGTTGTGATTTGGTATGTGTTCTTTGTCTGTCATTCTGTTGGTTGAAATTCCTTTTTATCCTACAGCACAAAGCAGTTAAGAGGGCTTTATTTTTTAACTGTATTTTTGTAAAATCCTGACTTGTTGGATGATTGGGAAGGTTCACAAGTTAAAGCTGAAAGGAAAATTCCTGGAGGTAAGAATAGGAACTGCAGAAAACTTGTATTTGTTTTGTATTCCTTTTCATCCCTCTCCTGTCCCTCTTGGCTTAACTGAATGTGTTTGTATTTCTTAGAAAAAACTCACAGAGCCTTTTGGAAAAGTTATAATGATTTTACAGAGGCTAGAGCCTGAGTGTTCCAAACTGAACTTGAAGTGTGTTGGCTCTGAGCCCTCATCCAACGTCTCATGGTTTTTCTTTCAGTTTGCGAAAAGCTTGGCACAATTTATTAATGAGCAAAACATCAAAGATTTGAAAGTTTGGACCAGCCAGATGAAAAGGACAATTCAGACTGCTGAAGCATTGGGCGTGCCTTATGAGCAGTGGAAGGTTTTGAATGAGATAGATGCAGTAAGTTCTTCTTTTGTAAATGTCTTAGTAAGTTGCTTTGTTTGCTAGGGATGAAGGAAGTACTTAATGATATGCCTTTTATGGGATAGAAAGTCACATAAGCTGGTTCTAGAGGCTGGAAAAATTGTCATTAATTCCTGCTAACAAAGCTAAATGTTTTATTCAACTTTGCCATAATTACTTTAGTCTTGCTCTGTCTTTCCTGGTAAATCATTCCCCTGTAGAAGCCATGATGCTATGAAATATTTGGTAGGTACAGGTTCTAGTTGGCACTTTCCAACTGCACCTATAAGATATGTAAGCAGGTGCAATAGATAGAAATGTGACCATTTCTTGCCCATATATGTAACTTCCACTTTATATGGGGATTTAATGATTCTTTCTAACCACATCTGAGTCCAGATCAGTTCATCATGCATGACCATTTTGTCTTTAAGTGTCCGAGTAACAAAATACAATTTATATGTGGTTTTGTTTGAGTGATATCTACTTTTTGCACTGCTGAAAATACATGCTTTTTTATTATTACCTGTAGGGAGTGTGCGAAGAAATGACATACGAAGAAATACAGGAAAATTATCCGCTTGAATTCGCACTAAGAGATCAAGACAAATACAGATACAGATACCCTAAAGGAGAGGTATGCTATTTTTTCTCTTAAGGTGAAGGGTTTCCTTGTCTTCTTGAATACATGCATGGTGACTTTAGGAAGGAGAAAATAAGTTTTGAAATTACTAAAAAGGTTGTTCCTTTCTCAGGGGGATAGTACACAGGAGCTTGCAAGGACTGAGCCCAGACCATTTAATTTGATTCAGGGCTTGAAAAATAAAACAATAGATTTAGAAAAACAATAGATGTAGAAAAACAGTTAAGAGCTTTGATCTTGTGGGCATCGTTTCTATGCTGGTCTTGCAGTGATAAAGCAGGAAGAATGATTGCAAGGCTTCAAACTGTTGCATATGCAAACATACTGCCAAGATGCCCTTTTTCTATTCATCCTTGCTGTAGACAATGGCTGTTTTGCATGCAGTTCTGGCTGAAATGCTAGGGAAATCTGTAGCCACATTGGTCTTGCACTTTAATAAACTCCTTGCCTCTGGGAAAATAACTTGCTGACAGCTTTTCTAAAGCAAACTCATTACAGTGCAGCAATTACCAGATGGTCACACGGCCTGCCTGTGGGTGCTAAAGGTTTAGGATTCAGGGCAGCAGGGAGGAGGAGTAATTGGACCAGCTGCTCCGCTGTTTGTGCCATGAGGAAGCAGAGCTCAGTGCTCTTCTTCCCTCTGCAGTCAGGAGTAATCACTGTGCCCAGAGCAGCTTGTGATAAGAGCAGTGTTCCTGGGGCTGTGTCCCCGTCTTACTAATGAAGCACTCATTAAGCTGCAGAGTTCTCCTAATCCATGTGAACAAGGAGTGTTTGTTTTGTCAAACCGATGCCATCCTCTAGGACAGAGACAAACATGTCAAACTCCCTCATCGCCTTGGGACGGTTAGTTGATTTCAGTCGTTTGTCAAAGGCCATTTCTCTGCCGCCCTGGCAGTGGCGGGGCTTTGCAGGGCCTCACAGGAGACGGGCGGGTTTCCCTTGCCAAGACCTGAATCAGCAAGTGCCCGGTCCCGGCCGGGCAGCCCCACGCCTGCCGTGGGGACCAGGGCGATGACTTGTGCTGGTGCTTCCCCGCCCTGCCGGGGGGTGGGCTGCGTGCTCCGGGTGTGCAGTGCGTGGCACGTTTTGGAAGTCGTGTCCTTACTGTGCGTGTGAAAATTGCCGCCTGTAAGCACGCACGTGCCGGAATGCTGCTGTTCGCCTGCAGCAGCAGGTTGGCTGTGCGTGTGCTGTGCAGGGCAGGTTGCAAGAGAGATCGGCCTCCTTGCTGGTGGGATGGTGGCTGCCACCGCCAGGCCAGCTCATCAAGCCCATAGTTTGTTTTCAAAGGGCAGCCTGAACAAGTCAGGCTTTGTGAATTTTGTATGCTGACTGTAGGCTGGGCTTCCCAGATTTTTGCCTGGAAGAGAGATGCTTTTGAAGATGAAATATGGAAAATAATCGTGCAAGACTTAACCTGTACGTTTGCAGATGCAGTGAATCAGAATCTAGGTATTTTGTGGAAATTCTTGACCGTAGTGACTAATTTAATAAAGCTTTTCCATGAGGGAGATTTATTTTGTTATATGTATGCTCTCTGATAGTCTGGAAGGCCTGGGCTGTCGTCTCAATTTAAGGAAAAGTATTACTACAGTATTTGACTGTACACTAATACAGCATTTAGAAGATGACTAATAAGAAAGCGAGATCCACTGTATATACATACACTGTACAAAGAGTTTTCCCTTTTTAACGTGCTGTGTATTTCTCATCCCCACCCAGTCCTATGAAGATCTTGTTCAGAGACTGGAGCCCGTAATTATGGAACTCGAAAGGCAGGAAAATGTGCTTGTCATATGTCACCAAGCTGTCATGCGCTGTTTGCTCGCATATTTTCTTGACAAGCCTGCAGGTAAGTCTTCCTTGATACATTACAAATGGCCTGTTTTTTGAAAATTTACTGATTAAGGTTCCCAACAGTAAATTCTAATGATTTCCTTTATCATCAGATGGTGGTTGTGCTAGGCAAGTATGCAAGAATAATTTTTTGTATTTGACCCACACATGAAACTTGGTAGTTGACTTTTATTGAGCTGCTCCTCACCTATATTTGGGTTTTGCTCTGTTTGAGTAACGTCTCTGTTGCATGTTAGGAAAGAAAACAGATACGCTGTCAGATAAAAAGACATTTAAATGGTTGACCTGGAACGTAGCAGGAAAGTCAGTGTTCTTGTAATCTGTATTTCATATGTAATTTGTTGCTTCTCAGAACAACTGCCTTACCTGAAGTGCCCGCTGCATACTGTCTTAAAGCTAACCCCGGTGGCTTATGGTAAGTAGTAGTAAGTATATATAATATGTAAGTCTAACTAACCTGTCTGTGTCATCAGTAAAGTTTGCTAAGCAGCATGTAAATCACATTTGTAATTTATTTTGCTTTAAAACAGAATTGGACAATTGGGTTTGGCATTGCATGTATACCTGTACAGCTTTGTTAGAATCAGTGAGTACTTTGGTTTACATTTGCTTTGTGTTATGCCAGAAAATACGTATGTACTAGTGAAGGCCCAAAACTATCAGTGGCTGTAACAGCTAGGGGAAAATTTTCTTTAGTCCTCAGTTCATACACTATTTCACTAATTCTTCTGGCGAACCCGTGCTGTTCACACACCTGGTACAGCAAGATCTCGGGTTTTATTGATGTATTTGAGGGTATTGCTTTTTAGAAGACAGGCAAATTTACATTCATGTAGGTTTATCATCTTACAGAGGGTGTTCCCCTTACCCTTAAATAACTTTATTCTCTTTTCCCGAAGTATTTTTTTTGTGGACCTTTGCACTACCACGTGAACTCACCTTGTTTGTTGTTGGTGGTGTTCGTTTGTCAGCAGCTGTTACTGGTGCTCAGCTCAGGGGCTTTAACTGAGGGGTGCTGCTAGCTGATGGAGTGGGAGGTGTGGGTTGCAACATGGACTTGTTGGGTTTTAGGCTGATTGCTAATTTAAGTTTTGCGTGTGTTTCAACCTCATCTTAACGCGTCTGCTGTTAATTTTCTTTAAGTGATTGCTTAATTATATCTTCTCATCACACTTCAGAAGATTATTTATAGACAACGAGAACTATCTGCGCAGCTTACCAGGAAATGGATTGTCAAAAAACCCTAGTCAAGCTGTTAGTCAGAAATGCAAAGCTGCCTTTGATTATCAGCTTTGAAAAATAGCAGTCTAGACCTGTACTTTGTTTTTTGTTAAGTTTTTCAAATAAAGTTGAGACAAAGTAACTAGCTGTTCTGCTGGGAAATCTGTCAGGAGAGACTTTTGTCATTTAATTGCAGTGTCCTCCTGCAGAATGTAATAACCGTCTGTGCTGTGGTGACATCTGGTGTTCCTAGCCTTGCATGACAAGCTAGAGATTTGAGAATAGAGATGTAGAACAGCTAAAACTTTCTTCCCTTTTTTTTTTTTTTTTTTTTTTTTTTTTTTTAAATGCATTCTATTGACTTGCTAGTCTCGGCCTGTTTTGACAGAGAGGTTTTTGTTTTGGGATTGTTTTTGGTGGTTTGGTTTTTTAGTGGGAAGTCAGGTGACCATAAATGTTAAGAGGGCCTGGGTGTTTGCACGCTAAATGAGGAAGGAAAAGAAGTGGTATGAAACACTGTTCTTGTCCTTTTGACTTCGGTGAAAGAAATGCTGTTGTTCTTTTTTAGTGTTTGATACATATGTCTGATTAGCACGTTTCAGTCGACCTACTTTTTGGAATTTGACCATTTGAAAATACAAGGGCTGTGTAAACTATTTATACAGCAATAATCTATAGCATTATTTCAAGTTGATGTGTCACTTGGCTCCAGTGAGGCAGGATGCAGGATCAAACATGGTGTGTTTAATACCTTCCAGCTAATCCTGTTCTGAGGTAACACCTCCCTTAGGGGTTTGCTCTTCCTGGCGTTTGAAGCTAGCATCATTCCCACCCTGTGTGTCTGATCTTTAGTAGGGGAACATCTGTTATGGCCTGACAGTTGGATTAGGATAAATTAGACTTTTACCTAACGATCCAGCATAGCACTGGTCTGTGTGGGAGCACACAGGAAAGAGAAACTGCATCTTGCTGTAAGTATGAACTTACTCATCGGTAATGAAAAATGAGCTGGGAACGTGCACATTGTAATTACTGTGGGGTAACTCATGTCCCTTTAGTCTACATTTAAAGCTTTCCATATGATACTTTTTTCAGGTCTTAAACTCAGCTAACAGTAAGGACTGAAGGTCTCTCTGGAAGTGTCTGCGATGTAACCTGTCCTTAATAAAGGCCAGCATCAGGGATCAGAGCCTGGTTTTTTTTTGTCTCGGGTGTTGAGATGGATCTGTGAACAGAAGGTTGGGTAGGGTACTCTTGCAGTGGGAGATCAGCGTTTTTCCCCCTCAAAAATCTGTTTTCTGGTCGATTGTATCTCTGAGTGCTGGCCCTCCTGTAGTATTTGCTCACAATGTTCATGACAAATGGGGTTTCTCAGAATAGACTTCCCTAAGGAAAGCAAATACTTGCCTTACTCATTTTTTAAGTGCAGTGGCTTTCTAAGAAAAGGCTGAAATCACCCTTTTCTGTCGTGTAGTAATTCTATGGAGTGTGTTACGACTTTAGGAAATAAGGGAGCAGGAAAATCTGAAAACTTGTTTGTGATAGAAAATGGACCCTGTGGTATGTCAGAGGAATTTGACTATTAATGTTGTGTAGGGCAGTGGTAGCTTGTAAAAGTCATGTCCGTGTGAGAGAACTGTTCAGCAATCAGATAGTGCTTAAAATGGTGTGGCCACAGTGTATTAAGCAATTGTAATTCTCTAAGTGGGTCAGTTCATACCACCTGAGTAATAGTTGTCTCCTCTGTTTTATTTTTCTTGCTTCTCGAGGTTTCCATTTTTAGGTGAAAAGCAGAGGTTCTTTTTCAGAAATCAACTTTAATGCTCAGTTTAGCTGGGGGTTAAAAGACTGTTTTGCACGTGTAGAGGAATGGGGATTGCAAACAACACACGGTGTACCCTCTTGTAATCATTTCCGCGTTTTAAAAAATGAGAGCAGTGTTTTTTCTGCTCTATTACAATGAAATTCTAAGAAGTCTAGGATGTTTAAAAAATGAAAAGTTACAAGAATTTTCTGACTGAGTGTTGTTTCTCACGTATGTTTAAAAAATGAGAATTTGTTTCAAAGAAAATAATGATAAAGCTAAGGTGTGACTAGGAGATGGATTATCAGACTGAGTATAACATTCATCCTGGTGGAATAGATTCATTTCAGTAGCTTTAGCTGTTCAGAATTTGGGAAATACTAGTATAAATTAGAAGGGGGAAGTTATTAACCAACTCAAAATTAGATTGCATCTTTACTACAATTCCATTTTTAAAGCGGACAAATTCTAAAAATGTGTTTTCTATCAACAGGATGTAAAGTAGAATCTATATTTCTGAATGTTGAAGCTGTAAACACACACAGAGATAAACCCGAGGTAAGAGTATTTTTCAAATCGGACAACTTGACGTAATGTACTATCTGAGCTGATTTCCATTGTCCTTGTGGTTAGAAATGATTTGATAACTCAGCTGAGCGTATTTAATTTTACATATCAAGCTTTACTACTGGTTTGCTGTTGGGGGGGAATCCTTTTTACTGAGCAAATTTATCTTACATACAAAAGCTAGCTGGAATAGCTTATCTTCAAAAAAATGAATGAGAATTTGAAGATAACGGTATCAGTCGAAGAACTATATAAAGTTCTTACAGGCTTTGTCATTCAGCAGAAGTAGGGTGTAGTCAAAAAGGATGTTGTTACGAATTGCCACGCTTATTTTGGAGAGAGTAAATAATGAAATCGTCAGCTTTTTCGTCACTGCAATTGTTGCTGTATGAAAAAGAGGAATTCATGATGCCGCCTGTGTTTTAAGCCGAAGCTGTGGAGGAAGACTAGATCTCAGGATACAGGAAAACAACGGGGGAAAAGAGAAGTGAGTGGATTTGTAGGACGTAAGTGGAGATGTCAGACCATGGCAGCTTCGTACTCTCCCTGCGTCAGGCACAAGGTTCTGGGTGCTCCAAAGTGTTGGTGTGAGCTTGGGTTGATTGTGCTGCTTGTGCAAAGCTCTTCCATGGCTGCATTGTGAAAGTTGTGTAAAATGTGTCATGATTCAAATTCCTGGTTCCCTTGCAGATCCTCATGCCAGTGCTGCTAGGTATGGCAGTAATTACTTGCTGAGGTTATGAGCTGTGCCTGCTGGTGAATTAAAAGTCAGTTTGAGAACGTGAAGAAAAAGGGCGATTTGTGGTGGTTTTGAGAACAGTGGTTTATGGTGAAAAGGAATATAGTCATAAATGTGTTTTTATGTGTGTATTCAGTAAGGTATGAATACAATGCCTTATGTATATGAGAGTACATGTTTGTGGCAGTTCTGCAGAATTCATGCAGGAAGGGTCTGCAAAGGAGTTTTAATGACTTGGGTATTCTGAGTTCTGAAAATACTGACTTTTGGCCGTTCATAGCCAAAACATTTTCCATTAGACAGTGGTATTACGTATTTCCTCTCCACCTTTTCTACTTTGTCGTTCTGCTTTACCACTTCTGGTTTGGTTTGTTAGGTGTAGGAAATCCATTCTGTTTTCACAGTGCCTAAAAGGTATTGGAGAAGCATGGTGAAGGTAATGGAGGATGTTTTAGAGCAGGTGTTAAGCTATCCATGGTAAATAATGTAGATAATTGAACATCTGTAGTTTGGCTGATAAAATATTGGTGCTGAATTTACAGCTTGCTAAAGTGCCTTGGGAACTGCTGTTGGGAACACCACTTCTCTAGCTGAAGACGTTTATTTCGAGGGGGAAAGCTCTGCCTGAATCACCAAGTGACTCTTCACACGTGCAGCGAGTGCTGTGGCCCCACTGGCGGTGGGGTCGGGCGGCTGTTGCAGGTGCATGTAGAGGATCGTGCAGGTAGTTGCACTGCAGTGGGTACAAAGGCACGAAGCTGTTTAACGTGAACAGAAAAATTGGGCTAATGAATTTTTAAAAAGAGAAAAAGGAGCAGAAGCATTTTTATTAAAAACACCTCAACCACTCTTCTCCTTCTGCCCCCAAAGAAACGCTGCCCAGCGAAGTGTGGGTGATGACACGTTGTTCATTTAGTTGGACTGAAGGAAGGACCACGTTGATCCCCTCTGCATTTAAATGCTGCTCAGAGGATTATGACAATTTCAAAAGCTTTCGTTTACATCACCTATGGAAATGTTAATGGCTTCTGTAAAATTAAGTTTTCAAATAGTCTGTTGAAGTCAGAGCATTTAATTAAATACAGCATTAGCGATAACAACATTGTCAAACAATGAATCTGTTTGATTAAGAGTTGCCCAGTGAGCTGTTCTGTGCCCCCACAAGTAATTTGTAGTCTGTGTTTCAGAACAGTGCGCTCACTCCTTTTTGGCTTTGGCTGAAAGCATCTATTTTCCCGTTGCAGAAATACAGGCAAAGTGCTGGAGTGTTCGTTTATAGTGTGTGTGTACTTCATTGTATGATGATGATGATTTGTCTGAAGTGGATTGAAGCCTTGTGTTTGTCAGCATTGTAGTGCCTTAGGTTCCTGACCTTCTAAAATGAGGGAGTGTATAGTCTTTTTGCTGAAAGTAATTCAGGGGAATTACTTTAGCTGTAGCTTGGGTCCACTTGGGCCAGAAAACAAGCACTGGGATAAAATGGCTACTTTGCACCTCTGTTAGTCAGTGAATGGCAGATAGGGAGATTGCTCATAGCGGGAAACAGAGATCCCCCTTTTTGATTTTGGGAAGGGAAGGGGAGAGGGAGGTGTTGGCGAAAGGTGAGTTTGCTTCCCACAGTGTAAAACAAGAAAGACTCATGAAGCCCATCAGCACAAAGTTTGAAGAATTGTCAATGATTTGGCCTAAAATAGGCCACGTCTTAGATCAAGATCTTGTAAGGAACTTCAGAACAGTTTATCGGTGTCTGCTTTCTTCGTGGAAGGAGAATACTAATTGCACTGTCTTTGGGACTTGCACGAGGTGGTGCCACGGCCGGTGATTCCTGAGCCTGGTGCTCACAGCTGCACTCCAGGCCGCGCTGCCTTGTGCTGGTGTTTTGCTTTCGTTTGGTTCTGGGTAATTTGGTGCATTGACTGTAATTTTTTTTCTACAGCCTCTGCAAAATGAGGTGAGATCTAGTTGGTGTGATCAGCCTTGAATGGTTAAGGTGTCTGGGAAGATACTCTTCTATTTTGTCAGGGGTAGTACGTTGCCTGTAACACAAAGAAATAAGTTTTCCCTTGGGAAAGAAGTATATGGCATAGTTCAGCAGAGCACTGCAAGTTGCTTAATGGATAGACATGTATGTGCTGAAGCACATGTTTAAGTGGATTCCTGCTTGGGCCTGTGAAAGACTTCCTCCTAAACATGAACGACTTGAACTTCTGGTAATACTATCAGCATGGGATCAGCGATTATTGTAAATATGTTTTCCTGATATTTAGGTCTGGGTCACCAACCAGCTGTCAGCCTGCTGCATTCTCGGGGTATGGGGGGTTTTAAAAAAAAAAAATCGGCTTTTACATAAATGCAGCTGTGTATTTGTGAAGGAATCTGGGGGTTTTTTTGTTGCTCTTACTGCTGCATGATAAATATTCTCCTCTGTATTTTTATTATTATACAGAATGTAGACATTTCCAGACCTCCCGAGGACGCTCTTGTAACAGTCCCTGCTCATCAGTGAATCCTGTGTGCTGATCAACTATCGAACTTGGGGTGCTGTTTTCATCCTACTACTTCAAAATAAATTGAAAAACTAATCATTCCAATCACTTTGAAATAAAAAAGCCCCATCTGAACCCAGAAACTCAAAACCCAAACCAAATGTTTGTACAGCGCATGACTTGAAAAAAATGATCAAATCACAATAAAACTATTGCACTGGTTAATTTATTGTGGATGAGTTATCAACCATTGATCGGCTGTCACTGGAATGCTGGTTTTGTAAATCGCTGTAACTTAAATATCCTGCAGCCTTAAGTTTTACTGTAACAGCCAGCAATCATTTAACATTAGTTGCAGTGTATTTATGAAAGCCATGAAACACAACATCCTGTGTGAGATTAAAAAGTTGCAGTTTGTTTTCTAATCACCAGTATGATCTATTTCAGTGCCCTTGGGAGTGATTGGACTGCTATGTAGCATAAAATAACAATCCATAGTTATGTAAAACCTTAATCCCGCTGATCCATAGCACTAGTGCTTTAGTTGTGCTTATTAATGATGTGCTGTTTGAAGAGGGTGGCAAGTTTTCACTTAGTTCCAGAGCAATTATTCAAGGTACAAGAATGTGTATAAATGTTCTTAATATATGACTTTTCTTAACAGCTGTTCTGCATTAACTAGGCTTTAGGGTTTGCCTGCCAGCAGAAGTGATTTTAGATTTCCTCTTTTCCTTCTTCTTGTACGGACGTGGGTGATCGAGTGTTTACAGCTCTGCTCCATACGTTTTTGTACCCAGATTTTATCTAGGCTACAATAAGCAGTGCTGACCCTTTCAGAACGTGGAAGCAGAGATAGCCGGATTATTTTGTAGCAGGGTTGTGACTTGCCTTGAAAGGGATGGAAACGGAAGGACAGCAGCAGGCTGTGTGCATCCTGAACTGACTTACAGCAAAGCCTTTCGTGGGCTGGGGCAGACTGCACCTTGTTTGAGATGCGGTGGCAAACCTTGGCTCCTTTCTCTGCAGTGTTACGGGGGCAGAACGAGGCGGTGGGAAGCAGCTGTGCCACTGAAGCTGCTTTGTTTAGGTAGCGTCCAGTCTGGGAAAGGCAGAAAATCACCGACTCCTGGAACTGTTTTCTGAGATCTTTTAGTCTTGAAAGTAAGTGAGAGTGGTGTGCTGTGGAAAGCTTTTATCTCTTAGGTTTCTCAGGTGGTATGTTTTTCCAAAACTTGGATTTCGGAAAAGAAATGGTAATATCGGCACTTCTAAAATTACACGGAAGTTTTTGGAGTTTTATAGCGATCAGGAATGCCTGATACAACCAAACGCCCTCCTGGCCAGAGAGCCTCCTGCTGTACAGCTTGGTATTTAGTTAAACCAGTGTCCCAGGATGGGCTGGGACTGGGGGGGAACCCCGATTATTTTCCCCTCTCTGTCGTGACCGTGACGTGGGAGTGTTTTGTCACTTTTCCATGTTTAATTGCCGCAGCCTCTTGGCACGTGCTTTGCCCTGAAAAATTCCACAGAGGAGGAGATCTGAGCCTGCTGTACCCACATGCACACGTTAATTAGTGAGTCTGGTTGCTTTTACCCGACAGTTGAGGTGACATCCCTGGGAGGTGACAGGGACACTGGCTGTAGTTGGGTACTGAGAAGCTGTGCCCAAATGGCTCGGGGTGCTGTCGCCTCCACAGGCCACGGCTGAGGAGATACTGTGCCAATTTAAACTAAATGCCTTATGTTTTTGAGGGACCCAAAACCTGCCCAAGCGTCTGCTGTGGAAAAACTGAGTTTTTGCTGCTTGAAAAAGGATGGCTTGGGCTGCGGGAGGAAACGGAGGGGGAAGATGGAAGGGGCAGGAACCTGACCGGAGGGGAAGGCCGGGCGGCAGAGATTTGGTGGAGGGAGGGGAGGTGGCAGAAGTGCCCGGGACCCTCCATCCCTGCCCGCTGCTGCCAGCCCGACGTGCGGGCGCTGCGGCTGCGGGGTGTTCTCTTTGCTGGGCGTAATGCTCGTTGTGCCGATGCGTGCAACGGAGTGAAGTGGGTATTTAAAAGCAGATTTGTGCCCTGAGGGGTCTCCTGTTACAGCAGGATTGCTTAATAGTCCTCTGTGGCTTATTTTCTTAGTAAAAGAAAGGCCTGATGCTGGGCGGGAAGCGGCAGTGACGGTTTGTGGCAGAGCTTGACGAGGGAAAGTTGGCTGTTAAGAGTACTGGGTTGTTTATATTGTGCTGTTTTGTTTTTCTCTTTATGCCTGTGCTGGTTGTTCAGCTGTGCAGGACCCTTGCTAACTGCATCTGCTTGGGCTGTCTCCGTGGCTTCTGTGCCCTTCAGAGCCCTCTTCCCTGGAGGAGCCTTCACGTGCAATCTTACTGGTTTGCCGTGAGGATCCCATTGTAGCTAGTCCTGTTGGGAAACCCACAGCGCTTTGTTTCTGGGCAAGGCTCTTTTCTATAGGAAAAAAAAACTGTGCCAAGTAGGGGGGATTATAATGAAGAGAGGAGGAACAGTGGTATAAGAGTGTATTTGGGTTGATCTGTGTGTTTTGAGCCTTTCCAGAGGGAAGCGGGTGAGGTGGACCCTTGTGCAAGGCGGGGTGAGACTGCTCCTGCCCCCCGTGAGCGCCGAGCCTCCTCGGGGCGCAGGCTCCGGGGGCAGCGCGTGCCGGCCCGGGCTGGCCGAGGGAGAGCCTGTGTCCCTTGGGAGAAATAGTCTTTTAAAAAGGTGTGTGTGGTGTTTTTGTTCCCACTCCTGTTTCCCAGGCTCTCCAGACAGTGCGGCTGCAGGTGCCTGGCAGTGGCGGTGCTGCTCCCAGCACGGCAGCTTTGCCCCCGTGTGCTTTGCCCAGGTAAGGCAGTGCTGAACGCTTCGGGGGGCACCTTTTGGTCCCAGAAGTAAGGCTAAAACCTCGGTCGTCTTTCTAACAAGCAGCACTGTTCTCATTGCATGACTTTTCTCCCTCAGTGCCTGTGGCTTTCCTGGAAGCAGGCGCAATCCCAGCTGCCGCAATCTAATCTAACGTGATTCCTGTGAGTGGGAATCCATTTACCATTAACGAGGACAGTAGTCTCTGTCGAAGACTCAGCTCACCTGGTCTTGCTGTTAAGTATTCTGGTTGTCTAATAAGCCCTAGGGTCACTTTATTATGGTTTATCCCAGACAGAGTTTTCTTTCTTTGGTGTGACAGTTCAGTGTGCTTTGCTTCTACAGCCTTTTCTCCTTCACGTTTACTCAAATTGAGGTACTTTTTGCCCTCAACTTTGTTGACTGCCTGTTGGAGTTACCTCTTGGGTCTGTGTCAGTTGCTAAGATGCTGCTTTCATCTGATACTTCTCGTTGATTTAAATAAGCTGTATCTTCTGCTTTGTCTTGACGGCCTTGTTTCCTTTTATTTCATGTTACAGCTGTCTAGTTCTTGCTGCTCGTGGACTGATTTCCAGTGCTTCTGGATTCCTGTGTATTGATGCTCCATTTAATTTTCTTTAGATCAACAGCAGGTCCTCAACTTCGGAGATTTTAGCCAGTATTCTTGGATTGCCTTTGGAGACATCTCCACAGTCCCAAGGAATTTCTGGGTACATTGGATCAATTGCTAAGAGAAACGCAAACAAATGCCAGCATGTTTTGAAGCTTCCTTCTGAAACAGGGCTGTTGCTTTTCTTTCCTTCAAAGAGAGACATCAGAGAGTGGGTCGGGCACTGTGCCGGTGGGTGCAGAGATTTCCAGGACTTGGATGACTCGGCCCGGCAGCATTCATTTGTGTCTTCTCAGAAACCTCGGTGTGGTGTGTTTATGGTGGAAAACAGGGTGATTCACCCAAAGGCTTGAAGGCTGATGGCAAAGGAAAGGGCTGGTGTTAATGTAGGAGAACTGGTAAGGGCAGAAGTGATGGTGGTGCACACTTCAACCCTCGAATCAAATCTGGTGCTGCTTGTTGTACCTGCTGTTTCCGTAAGAAATGGTTGTAAATCCTAGAAACCGGGGCTGGGGAGGGGAATGACTTGGCTTTTGAAATTGATGCATTTTGGCTGATGGAGTCGTGTGCTGTCTGAGCGCGTGTGCCGAGAGTCCCCCTCGCTGGGTGTGCTAGTGGGGCTTTGTCCCTGAGTTAGACTGAAGAGACTTGTTCTGAAAGTGAACTCCAATAGGTTCAGTTACAAAACCACTGAAACATTATCGGATGTCACTGCCAACACGCCCACGTGTCCTGAAATGCATTTAATCCTCATGTTGCCAGCTCTTTTGGGGAGTTATTCCAAGTCCTTCCAGTGACTTAGCTGCTTACAGGCAGGGTCAGAATTAGCTGTGTAGCTGTTGGAGTTAAGGAGTCGTTTCCTTAACACCAAGGAGATGGCTTCCCTCCCTCTGGGTTTTATCAGGTCTTGTGTGGTCTGTGACCTTTGTATGGTTCCGTTTTTTTCTTGCGCTATATGCCTAAAGACTAGAAGAGATAGTGGATTAGATAAATGTGGTTAAAAATGGTGCTTAAAGGAAAAAAAAGTCTTAAAAACTGTAACACTGTGACCTGCGTGTGGCGCACAGAGACTGGCTGTCCCACCAGGCCCGGTGTGGTCGTGTCTTGGAGCTGCTTTTTCAGTGGCAGCAGAGCTCCTGCTTCTAGGTGTCTGAGGGATGTGGGCTCTGTGGAGCGCGTAGCGGCTGGGCCGAGCTCTGAGCCCGGCTTCTGACTTCTGCTCACGGGCTGGCACCTTCCCTTGTGTTTTACCAAACAGTTTGAGGAAAGAAGCTTTAAAACTTGCTCATCTTTTGCCTTGCGTAACAGCCGTGCGTTAAGCAAGACTACGGCTGACCACGAGGCCCTCGCTTTAAAAATCTTTTTTTTTTGTCTTTACGTTTGCAGAATGTAGGTGTGGATCGATCAAGAGAAGAGGCTCTGAGGACAGTACCCAACCACCTATAGCTCCAGTCCCCGGGGGCGGCAGCCCTTCCTCCCGCGCCAGTGTGGAGCGGCGGCGGTGGTGTCGCTGAGCACCGAGCGAGTGGGAAGGAACGTGCCTCCCCTTCACTTTAAGACATTTCGAATGTGATTCGGCTTCTTTGGAGAAAAGCTGTAGTTGTGGATAACTCCCAGTGCCGAAAGGTATCAGTAAAAAGATTTATGGGAAGCAGAGTAGGGTTGGATTTAGATTTTTTTTTTTTTTTTGTATGTAAATTTGTGCAGTTTTGGTGGTTTTTATTGTTCATCTGTGGATACTGCAAGTTGGTTAATTGCCCGTGTCAATTTTACTGTCAGATTTTAACTAGATTTTACTTTCTAAGCGTTTTTCTAAGAGTTCCTCTTATTTTTACTGTGAATGATTGCCTAGAATTACATGGAGATTTTTCTGATGGCGTATTTAACAGAGGTGAAATTCCGCATTTTGAGCATTGGAGGCTTCGTGTTGTGAAACCACTTTAAACGGGAAAGCCTGTCAGCTCTGATAGCTTTTCTGTGTTTTAAACTGAGCTTTGGTTTACCAACCACAACTTAAATTTTTGTGAAATGGGGAGACTTTCCCATGTGAAAGTAAAAGTCTTAAAGTTAGATTCACTACCTGAAAGTATCTGATGTTTTAGCAAGGTTTTAACATTTTCCAAGGGCCGGCTGTATTTTGGAGGGCAGGAGAAGACACAGTATTAAGTGGGGGACGTGAGTGTGAGTATAGCTGGCAGCCAGGGCAAGGAGTGGAGACAGACACATCCTTTCTGCTGCAGTTACAGGAGAGGATGAGCAGCTTTCTGGCAACTGGAAGGGAGGGGAAGAGGATTCAGACTGTCGAGGGCCGGAGAAGCTGCCTGTCTTATTAGTGCTGTGATTTATTTTTTTAGGCAATTTTTGGAATGAATTTCAACATAAAAGTCTATGTTTCTCTTTTATAGCCACATTTAATGCGTACATCAGGAAACAGTACAGAAAGGTTAGGTGGAGTTTAACCATTCTAACAGCTCATGCAAGAAAAACACCAGGTAAATTCTGAAATTATTTTTAACACTGGCACACCTGCCTTGGGGGTTTTTTTGTGCTGTTTTTAATCATCTTCCACCATCCCAACTCCTCACTGCTCTCTTATACCTTGTGAAACTCCAGTGCTAAAAATGGAATTTTCTGTGTCTGTTGAGGCCATGACCTTTAACTGTACTAAATCAATGTGTAATTTGTACGTGTGTTACCAGACAGCTGAAGCGAGCTGCCAGCGCTGCTGCTGGCTCTTAGTTCTGAAACAAGAACTATACTTTGGTAGTTGGACTGTGGGTTTTTTTTTTTTCTTTCCTAAGGATTTCTCTTCAATTAATTGAGCTTTTACCATGTATGTTGTTGGGGTTGTTTCGTTGGTTTGTTGTTTTGTTGTGTTGTTTTTTTTTTTTTTTTTTTTCTCAATTCCTGTGTGAAATACCAGGCCCTCATAACGTAGTTTTGCAGGCAAGGGCTAAATTGTCTTTTGTGCGGGGTTTATACAATAACGTGCTGCTGTTGTGATTTGTTTTAATAAGCTAATTTCAGCAATATATTCAGCTCTGGAAGTAAGCCATACTGTATCGCTGGGTTCGGTGGCGGAGGAGGAGGAGTGCGTAGGGTGGGGAAGGACCGGGAACACTTGCTTCAGGCGCTGCTGTCTGAAGCTTTGTGTGCGCGAGCCACGCGTTCGGTAACGCCCATTTCGGCTCTTTGTGAATTCAGCTGTGTCCGTAGCTGCTTCGTGAGGAGAGGGACCGCACGGCGCTGCTCGGAGCAGTTCATTTCTCGGTGCTTGGTGGCCAAACCTTGGCGTTTCCCCCCCAGCTCGGAGGGGTGTTCGGCGTGGGGGGGCCGGGCTGCGCTCCAGGCAGGCCTCCCCCGCCCAGCTGCGCCCGGGAGTCGTCAGGCGGGATTTCAGTTGAGGAGGTCAGAGTTGGTCTGTAGTTACCGAGGGCAAATCCCAGGAGGTTGGATGAGGAACGCGGGGTTTTTCGGGCAGGCTGCGGTGGTACCTGCGCTTGGGCTCGGTTGAAGAGCTGTGGTGGAAGGGAAGGTTTCCCCTAGTGAGAGCTGAGCCCGAGGGCCGCCTCTCTTCACTGGCAAGCGCGGCTTGAGGTGTCTCCCCCCTCTCCCTTTCTTTGTTTTACCCCTCTCGACTTTCAGAGGTGCTGTAAAATTCCTTGAGGCTAAATGTTTTATGTATAGTAGGTATTTTTATAGCCTGCTTTTGAATATACTGTGATGAATGTTTGACTAAGTTGGGTGTTCAGTGAAAAGAATTGTATACAAGTGTAAATATACTGTTATGCTGATACTTGAAGAGGAAAAAAAAAAAAAAATGAAGTTGCCTGTTCTACTTTAGGAAGGTACTAAATCACTGACTGCATGTGACCCTCTCTAGCTGGTGAGAGCAAGTGTAGACGATGAATGTAGCTTTGAAGGGAGCGATCGGTTCTCCCCGGGGCGTGGCCACCTTTCCACAACAGCACTGTCAAGAATTGCAGAATATTGTCGCTGTCTCAAAGCTGCGTATGTCCCCCGCTCCTGACAGAACCGTCACTGACCGGGGGAGTGAAAACCCTCGTCCTGACCGTGCGTATTTGTATCCGTGTTTATTTTACTGCCTTCTGACTGTTAACGCACTTGCTAGCTCAGCTGCAGTCTCTCGAATGGGATGAAGCTGTCTTTTCTTACAGCGTTGGCCTTCGTCGTAACCTTTCAGACAAATGTAATCACTTGACCTTTGATCCGAGTAATAAAGATCAAATGCCAGAGCGTGTGCTGGTGTGTGGTTCTTTCCGTGCCCGCTAGCGGAAGCTGAAGTGCCAGGTGAGTGTTCCTGCAGGGCAGCGGGTTTCCACGGCTCTGGGAAGCGGAGGCAGTGCCGCGTGGTTGAGAGCGCTTACACCTAGGCAGAAGAGTTAACAACAACACTGGTTCCTTTACTCTGGCAAATAATTATAATTTAAGTAACAAACCTCAGTAACTGAGGAATAAGCTGGAAGAATTGATGGAATAAATACCAGCCAAGATTTGCCCACAGTGGAGGAGAACAGGAAGCCTTTATTAATTTTACCCGGTCACTGGTACGCAGCTACGCTGTTCTTAAGTGATCGTCCAAATGGTGCTGCTTTCCTGAGAAAGCGGCGAACCGACGGCCAACTGCATCCTAGAGTGAATTTGGATGGGTGTCTGAGGTAGACGGCATGAAATTTGCAGGGGTACTTGCTATTCTGAAGGGTAAGGACAAAATTAATGACTACTTTCTAGTTTAGAATCACGTACTCAACTTTTCACGTCTTGCTGATGGCTCTGTACTCCTGCGTGGTAACCACTTGTATCTGCCCTGCTAGGTGGAAGGAGTGTTTTCTTCATTTTTAACTCTACTGTGTATTTTATGTTTGTGGGGGAGGTAATATTTTTGTTTGTTTTGGAGCTTTCAGGCTGCTTTCTGGACAGAATTCTGTAATGCCTCCCTCTTGCTGTGGCACGAGGGCCCCTGGGGCACGGCGGAGGGCCCCGAGGCTGGAAGGAGCTGGGGGCTGGGGCCGGGCAGCTCCCTGTGCAGCCTTAACGTAACGCCCGGTGCAGGGGAGGAGGGAAAGAGTAGCTGCTCTGTGGAGGAAAGGCGTGTGTCAGCCCAGGGCTTGTGAGCGGGGCTGGGCTTTTAGAAGGTGCACTTGTGGCAGCAGGAGGGGCTCCGGGTGAGCCAGGTGCCTGCTGAAAGCGTTGCTGGGCGAGGAGCAGGGTCCCTGCAGAGCAGGTTGAGCAGCTGTCACGCCGGAGCCAAGCAGGTGAGAGTAGTGGAGCAATGGCTCCCACAAACAACAACTGCTGCTTCTTGTAACTCATTACAGCTTCTTGCTGTCCAGTTGCCCGATGCTGCTGGCGACCATGCGTAGCACAAGCATCCAGCGCTCACCTTTGAAAGCAGAATAACCTCCTACTGAAAATAGCAAAGCAGAAGTGACTTAGCAGGTCCTGGGAAAGGGAAAAAACAAGTTTGCTGCTCTCCCTGGCAGCAACTCCCAGCATGGTGTGTGCTCCCCCTCCAAGGGGGTTTGTGTAAGCGTGTGCAGTGGTAACTAGGCAAACCCCATCTGTCTGGAAACGCCAACTGTGGTCTGACTCTTCCAGCCTCGAGCTACTGTACATTTAGCTGGCAGCCAAGTCTTGCTTGCCTTGCTTGAATTACAACAATGAGCTAAAGCTGTTCTGTAGAAGAAAAACAAAGGCAGCACTGTATTTTTCCGAGTCTCAATGAAGCCTTATTGGGGGGCGAGCAGCTTTCTCTTGCTCCTTCAGCAGGATTAACAACCTGAAACTACCCTAAAGCTACAGGGTGCTCCTAAGAGCTCCCTAGCACTGTGTAACTGTACTTTTTTTTTCTGCCTGCTCAGTGGTTGAGAAAAATAAATCATTTGCAATAGTGTTACAAGATACAGAAAGCCTTTGAGAAGCAAGGGACCTTGCTTCACTCTGTGTTTTAGAGGCTGACTGCAAAGAGAAGAATTGTGGAACAAGCTTTGCAGTAATTATATTAGTTTTTCTTTCTCGTTAATGATTAAAAATTAGAATTCAGAAGCAGGTATTGCAACAAAGCAGGATCCAGTTTTGCGCCCTCTCTACAGCCAGTAGAAGGAGCCACAGCTGCTGTATTAAAAACAAGAATGCGATACAAAATAAAACTGGAAGAAGTGTTTCTGTGCTGGGCATTTAAGCAAGATGCTCCAGCAGACCAGGCAAGTGGTACCAGGGCTCTACCCCATCGTTACCTGATGCTTTTCTCTCCTGGTGAGCTCCTGTGACCATGTTGCATTAATAGGAAATGGCATTTAACAGCAGAAACTCATATTCGTGGGATACTTGGGCCTCACTCTTACCCTTATACCATCCTGAAATAAATATTTAGCGTGATTAGAGCAGCCTGACTCCGCTCTGAGACAGACAGGCTTTAGGAAAAAGTAGTAAGAGTGGCCCTGAGGTGCTTCCCGCAAGAGCTGGTGTTACACTGTGAACCTCTGCTTTTGCCCAGTTCTCCCAAAATATTTGTGTTATTTTTGTAGGTGATCAGGGCTTGCAAATTATTAAGTTTTTTACAGTAGTTTAAAGATGACTGGAGTTTAATTGTGTACTTCTAGAAAAAAAAAATCATAAAGCCATGAATGAAAGTTTAATATAACTTTCTTTTTAATTGAAGACAAATAAAAGAACCAAGGGCTCAGACACTTTTTAAAAAGACATCTTCTGTTCTCCACCGTCCTCTCTCGAGCAAAATATACAGCAAATACATATATATAACATAACTACATTCAAGTACCAAACAGATTTTACATTTTCCCAAATAGAGGAAATAATGCACGTGATTCACATACCTTAAACCCGACCATGCATAAAAGAACACTGCCAGCAAATCAGCAGTTGGACATAATCACGCTACTGTGTATTATTCTGAAGTATCGACGCCGTTGGGATGTGTGACACTTCGCCGTTTCGGTTTCTAACATTTAACCCTGCTTTAAAGTCCGACTCTGGTCAGAGACTTACTTGGCTAAAATCTGTTCAAATTTGGGGTTAATAAAAGAAAATCCATCAAACGCGGACTGATCCATGGACTCGATCAGGTTTTTGTCACTGTAAGACAGTTTTGGCTTCTCACTCAGGAATTCTCTGTCAAAGTTGTTGTAGTCGCTTGCTGACTTCTGTGTAAAACAGAGAGGGAAGACAGTTTGAGACAAACGGTCTCATTTCTTCCAGAACATACTGCTTAAATACAAAACGTTACGAAATTCTTTCTTGAGCTCCCTTCTTTTTCTCCCCTGCCCTTTAGAGAAAAATCTCCTTTTTTGCCTGTTTTAACAACACTAAGATTATAACCCAACAATTGCTTATTGTTAGTTGAAAACTCCTAGCACCAGGTTGCTTCAGAGAACCACCACCTGGATTTGTGACGGTGTTTCATAGAATTACCCAAAGATTCACTATTGACAAAAGCAGTGCAGCTCTTCACTCATATTTAAGCCTGACAGTTCTTGCCATTAACCAAAATTTTGTACTTCCTGAAAGCATTTTACAGTCTGTACTTGTCCAGAGAAAAAAGCAACGGCCTGTTGCAGCTGCTTTGTGTCTGGATAAAATAGTTGTGTACGTTTCATAACAATTCACGTTACTAAAGACCAGGCTTTACACTCTGAACCTCCCAAGGTTACTGTCTGTAGGACCCCTGTGTTTCCAGAGTGCGCTCAGTGGGAACATGCAGCATGAAGCCTTCTGTCCTTGAGCAGGACAACTCTGCCTCAGCGAGTACGTAAGTACGTTTGGGAGGCTGCTACCTCCAGATGATTTTACCTGTACCAGTACAGGGTTGGATTTTAACCAAGTGTGAGGAAGCAGCAGCACCCCCCGGTGATACAGAGCATGAGTAACACAGTCTGTTCAGCTGTTTTTTCAGGTGATGGTGGGCATGTACATTACAAACAGTTCTAAGTTCAGTAGTATAGAAAATGCATCTTTTTGCCCGTGCGGAGACTCTGAGATGAGTTTGAAACAGCACAGGTCTAATGCTCGTACAGAACACCTGCAGGCGGTTACCAACTGAGTAGCCCCCTCCCATGTGGCCTTACAGGGAAATGCAAGAAACTGAACATTTCTAACATTGAGGAGAAGGGCTATCAGAACTTCCAGTTGATTTTCCTGAAGATTAGATCAGGTAAGAAGCTCCTTGAGACAGTACAGGAAAACAGTCTTAACGGGAAGATTTCAGGACAGTCAGAGGAATATAGTGCACCTTTTTATAACTGCACCCTCCAAGAACAAGTGGGCTCAGATACATAATTCTCTCATTTATAAAATGAGAGGAGAAAATTGCAGTAGAATAGTTGGAGCAAGTTAGAGAAGTCATCCCTTGCTCCCAGGCCAATGTCTGCAGTACTGCTACAGAACAAAGAAGAACCCACATACCACTTTTGGCCTGAAAGGAGGGTCCACCTCCCTCTTCTCTAGGGCCGCCCAGTTGATGGTTTTGAAGAAAGGATGGTCTCTGATATTCCCAGTGACCCCGAGTCGTCTTGTTGGATCCCTTTCAAATAGCTGCAAGAGAAGATACCTGGCAAAGCCTGCCGCCTGCTCGAAAGGTAGGTGGCAGTGGAAGAAAAATGGGTATACTGCTAAAAGAACAAAAGCTGCTAACAGTAAACAGACGGTTAGTAAATAATCTGACCTGGCTTTCCCTTTGTAAAAGTCATTTGCTTGCTGAAAACCAGCTCCTTTTCAAAGCCTAGAACGTTTGTTCCTCCCTGAGCAAGCAGTACCGTGACCTACTTGTTGATCAGCAGTCCTACCTTCTCTAATATGTCTTTTGATTCCTTGGTAATCCAGCGTGGGTAGTGAGGAGTGTCCACTCGGATTGACTCAAACAATTCATCTTCATCATCCCCATGGAAAGGGGACTGGCCGATCAGCATCTCATACAGCAGCACCCCAAACGACCACCAGTCCACCGAGAAGGTGTACCGCAAACCTTGCAGGATCTTGTTCCACAGAAGAAGTGCAGAGGAAGAAATACAAGTAATGAGTACAAGGCAGCCATCTCTACCAAAAATCGCAAGAGGGATTCTAAGACAGAATCTTTAATAACTTGGGCTACTTAGAGGGGAAGAAAAAAATCCAGGTCTTTGACAAGTATTTGATAGTGGTGCACAGCTGTAGTTTCATCCTCGGCTGCTGTTGGTGTAAACGTGGGCAGCTCGGGACAGGTCTTTGCTCTCATTCAGA